ACCACATGGTGTCCTAGAGAGACTAGTGACAGAGATCATGTTAAACCACATGGTGTCCTAGAGAGAATGGTGACAGAGACCATGTTAAACCACATGGTGTCCTAGAGAGACTAGTGACAGAGATCATGTTAAACCACATGGTGTCCTAGAGAGACTAGTGACAGAGATCATGTTAAACCACATGGTGTCCTAGAGAGACTAGTGACAGAGATCATGTTAAACCACATGGTGTCCTAGAGAGAATGGTGACAGAGACCATGTTAAACCACATGGTGTCCTAGAGAGACTAGTGACAGAGATCATGTTAAACCACATGGTGTCCTAGAGAGAATGGTGACAGAGATCATGTTAAACCACATGGTGTCCTAGAGAGAATGGTGACAGAGATCATGTTAAACCACATGGTGTCCTAGAGAGAATGGTGACAGAGATCATGTTAAACCACATGGTGTCCTAGAGAGAATGATGACAGAGATCATGTTAAACCACATGGTGTCCTAGAGAGAAATGGATCATGACAGAGATAGTGACAGAGATCATGTTAAACCACACATAGTGTAAACCCTAGAGAGAGACTAGTGATGACAGAGATCATGTTAAACCACATGGTGTCCTAGAGAGAATGATGACAGAGATCATGTTAAACCACATAGTGTCCTAGAGAGACTAGTGACAGAGATCATGTTAAACCACATAGTGTCCTAGAGAGAATGATGACAGAGATCATGTTAAACCACATGGTGTCCTAGAGAGAATAGTGACAGAGATCATGTTAAACCACATGGTGTCCTAGAGAGAATGGTGACAGAGATCATGTTAAACCACATGGTGTCCTAGAGAGAATGGTGACAGAGATCATGTTAAACCACATGGTGTCCTAGAGAGAATGTTAAACCACATGGTGTCCTAGAGAGACATGTTAAAGAGATCATGTTAAACCACATGGTGTCCTAGAGAGAATAGTGACAGAGATCATGTTAAACCACATGGTGTCCTAGAGAGAATGGTGACAGAGATCATGTTTAAACCACATGGTGTCCTAGAGAGAATGGTGACAGAGATCATGTTAAACCACATGGTGTCCTAGAGAGAATGGTGACAGAGATCATGTTAAACCACATGGTGTCCTAGAGAGAATGGTGACAGAGATCATGTTAAACCACATGGTGTCCTAGAGAGACTAGTGACAGAGATCATGTTAAACCACATGGTGTCCTAGAGAGAATGGTGACAGAGATCATGTTAAACCACATGGTGTCCTAGAGAGAATGTTGACAGAGATCATGTTAAACCACATGGTGTCCTAGAGAGAATGTTGACAGAGTTCATGTTAAACCACATGGTGTCCTAGAGAGACTAGTGACAGAGATCATGTTAAACCACATGGTGTCCTAGAGAGAATGGTGACAGAGATCATGTTAAACCACATGGTGTCCTAGAGAGAATGGTGACAGAGATCATGTTAAACCACATGGTGTCCTAGAGAGAATGATGACAGAGATCATGTTAAACCACATGGTGTCCTAGAGAGAATGGTGACAGAGATCATGTTAAACCACATGGTGTCCTAGAGAGACGGTGACAGAGATCATGTTAAACCACATGACAGAGATCATGTTAAACCACATGGTGTCCTAGAGAGAATGGTGACAGAGATCATGTTAAACCACATGGTGTCCTAGAGAGAATGGTGACAGAGATCATGTTAAACCACATGGTGTCCTAGAGAGAGAAGTGGTGACAGAGATCATGTTAAACCACATGGTGTCCTAGAGAGAATGTTGACAGAGATCATGTTAAACCACATGGTGTCCTAGAGAGACTAGTGACAGAGATCATGTTAAACCACATGGTGTCCTAGAGAGACTAGTGACAGAGATCATGTTAAACCACATGGTGTCCTAGAGAGAATGGTGACAGAGATCATGTTAAACCACATGGTGTCCTAGAGAGAATGATGACAGAGATCATGTTAAACCACATGGTGTCCTAGAGAGAAGTGACAGAGATCATGTTAAACCACATGGTGTCCTAGAGAGACTAGTGACAGAGATCATGTTAAACCACATGGTGTCCTAGAGAGACTAGTGACAGAGATCATGTTAAACCACATGGTGTCCTAGAGAGAATGATGACAGAGATCATGTTAAACCACATGGTGTCCTAGAGAGACTAGTGACAGAGATCATGTTAAACCACATGGTGTCCTAGAGAGACTAGTGACAGAGATCATGTTAAACCACATGGTGTCCTAGAGAGAATGTTGACAGAGATCATGTTAAACCACATGGTGTCCTAGAGAGAATGGTGACAGAGATCATGTTAAACCACATGGTGTCCTAGAGAGAATGTTGACAGAGATCATGTTAAACCACATGGTGTCCTAGAGAGACTAGTGACAGAGATCATGTTAAACCACATGGTGTCCTAGAGAGAATAGTGACAGAGATCATGTTCATGTTAAACCACATGGTGTCCTAGAGAGAATGACAGAGATCATGTTAAACCACATGGTGTCCTAGAGAGAATGATGACAGAGATCATGTTAAACCACATGGTGTCCTAGAGAGAATGTTGACAGAGATCATGTTAAACCACATGGTGTCCTAGAGAGAGACTGACAGAGATCATGTTAAACCACATGGTGTCCTAGAGAGACTAGTGACAGAGATCATGTTAAACCACATGGTGTCCTAGAGAGAATGGTGACAGAGATCATGTTAAACCACATGGTGTCCTAGAGAGAATGTTGACAGAGATCATGTTAAACCACATGGTGTCCTAGAGTCCTAGTGACAGAGATCATGTTAAACCACATGGTGTCCTAGAGAGAGAATGTTAAACGCCACATGGTGACAGAGATCATGTGTTAAACCACATGGTGTCCTAGAGAGAATGTTGACAGAGATCATGTTAAACCACATGGTGTCCTAGAGAGAATGTTGACAGAGATCATGTTAAACCACATGGTGTCCTAGAGAGAATAGTGACAGAGATCATGTTAAACCACATGGTGTCCTAGAGAGACTAGTGACAGAGATCATGTTAAAACCACATGGTGTCCTAGAGAGACTAGTGACAGAGACATGTTAAACCACATGGTGTCCTATAGTTGACAGAGATCATGTTAAACCACATGGTGTCCTGTCCATGTTAAACCACATGGTGTCCTAGAGAGAATGATGACAGAGATCATGTTAAACCACATGGTGTCCTAGAGAGACTAGTGACAGAGATCATGTTAAACCACATGGTGTCCTAGAGAGACTAGTGACAGAGATCATGTTAAACCACAGTCCTAGAGAGAATAGTGACAATGGTGTCCTAGAGGTGACAGAGATCATGTTAAACCACATGGTGTCCTAGAGAGACTAGTGACAGAGATCATGTTAAACCACATGGTGTCCTGCCCTAGAGAGAGTTAAACCACAATGGTGACAGAGATCATGTTAAACCACATGGTGTCCTAGAGAGACTAGTGACAGAGATCATGTTAAACCACATGGTGCCCTAGAGAGAATGGTGACAGAGATCATGTTAAACCACATGGTGTCCTAGAGAGAATGTTGACAGAGATCATGTTAAACCACATGGTGTCCTAGAGAGACTAGTGACAGAGATCATGTTAAACCACATGATGTCCTAGAGAGAATGGTGACAGAGATCATGTTAAACCACATGGTGTCCTAGAGAGAATGGTGACAGAGATCATGTTAAACTACATGGTGTCCTAGAGAGAATGGTGACAGAGATCATGTTAAACTACATGGTGTCCTAGAGAGAATGGTGACAGAGATCATGTTAAACCACACGGTGTCCTAGAGAGAATGGTGACAGAGTTCATGTTAAACCACATAGTGTCCTAGAGAGAATGGTGACAGGGGCCATGTTAAACCACACGGTGTCCTAGAGAGAATGGTGACAAGGGCCATGTTAAACCACATGGTGTCCTAGAGAGAATGGTGACAAGGGCCATGTTAAACCACATGGTGTCCTAGAGAGAATGGTGACAGAGAGTACAGCTTCAAGAAATTGAGGCTGAGGCAGACCTTTGCAAAAGTTGATACAAGACATCAAAGATGCACTGGCTAGGAAAGCACATAGGGCTGGAGAACTGGCTGGAGAAAGACTTTCAAATCAATGTTCTGTAAAGGACGTGCTGACTGACAATGAATATCACACATGTTTTAGGCAAATCGAGTAGAATCCATATCTGTCTCCTAAAGAAAGACAATTCTAAACTGAGAACCAACTACTGTTCTACTGCGACTCATGCTAGCAAAGTCCTCTTGTGAATCATTATGAAGTGTGGATCAAAGGAAGGCAGAATGTGAATTACAAGTAAGGGCAGGATGAAATTGAAATTAATTCTGATATGAGATTTAGATCTGAAAAATTCAGTGTAGTGTCCATTTACAATATCTCAGTAACAGAAGGGAGCCACCGTGGTGTAGTAGCTATATGTCTGCCGGAGGATCTGAAGGTCGCAGGTTCAGATGGAGCCAGACTTTAAAAAATGACCTTGGTTCCTAGGTTGATCCAGCCTTTAATGAGTGCCAGCTAGAGTCCTGGGAAGTAAAGGTTGCCAGTGTGATGTTGACCACATATCCCTCAGCTGAATAGTCTGTTAAATATAGGTCTAGCCCTATATGCCCAATACGACAGAAGGGTTCTTTACCTTTAACTTACAGTAACAAAAAAATCCATGTGGAACAATATAAGTGAGAAATATGGAAACCAAGAGATGTAGGAAACACAACGATAGGTGCAGGGTTGTGTTTAGGCACTGTGCTTAAATTTATCTGAGGCAAAAGGAGGCGTCAAATGAATGACTGCACAGGGGCATGTACATCAAATATAAGGTCTTGGATATGTGAGGTCAACTCAGATATAAATGTGTGCAAATTAACATTAAATAAGATAACAATGAGGAGAACAACCCAAAGTTGTTTTTTTAAGTCAATATTATACAAAACAATTTATTTAAAAAAATTATTTACCTGAAGAAACTTGGTTTTCAGCCGTTCTCTGATCAACAAGCCACGAATCAGACGCCGCCAGTTGTCGTAGACTTGCTTGTCCTTCCTCTGATTTGTGGAACAGAGGGGAGAAAGCCAACACCAATCAAGATAACAAGTCATCTACTTCCTCCACTCATTTTTTCAAGATAAAACATTTATTATTTCATTTGTACTAGCCTGTTCTTCTAACGGAGCATAGGTTCCCAACAAACTCACCACAACCCTTTGCTCAGTTGCATTTCGCTCAGTTGATTTTCTAACATACACATAGAAAAAGCCTAAAAAGCAAGTTACTGAAGCACAGGATCATCACACACACACACACAGCGTGAAAAGCAAAATACTGAAGTACATCCCCCCCCCCCCCCCCCCCCCCCCCCTTTTTTACGCACAGAAAACATAAAAACTGGCTCTTGTAGACTCAGGTCAATCTTCTTCTTCTCTTCTTTTTCTACTCCTGGAATGCCTCGCAGCGTCAGGACAGGAAGAGATCTCTGGAACTGACCCATTTGTTGACTTTGTATATTGGGTGAGACAGACATACAATCAGTCTGTTACTGGTACCACTGGAATTGGAACTCTGCCCAAGCTGTAGATATGGACACAGCGTTTATAGGAATGTCTTGACTGCTATGATGTTAGTTGTGAAATCACAACAGGTAACAAAGAACAAGACAAGGATGACAACTAGACTCACCTCCTGCTCCCGTTGCTTTTGAATCTCCTGATCCTCCAGCCAAGCAGCCATCAAGGTATCTGCAAACTCCTCACAAACGATGAAGCCATCAAACCTGAGGGAATTACAGAGAGAAACACAATCCAAAATATTCTTAGAGAGAGCAATTAACAAACAGCCAGATCATACTTCTTCTTTTCTTTGCTCAAAATAAATTATCTAAATCTGCAATGCTGTCTCTAGCATGAACTTCAATGTCTTTTGTAATTCACTTAACAGCCCATAAAGTTTGACTTCTACCGGTGTCTCTCTTAGCCAGAAGTTTTGTCTGGAAACACTGTATCTGGGAGAGTCTTGGAGGATGTGATCTGTTGTCTCAGGTGCCAAACCACAGGTACACATGGCTGATTCACCAATCTTAAATTCTGTGTACACGTGGCTGGGAAGTCGACTGTGTCCTCTTCTAAGGCGTAGGACAATGACTTGCTCTGGTCTGTCCATAATATGGTAATCCTCTTGTGCCAGTTTCGGTGGCATTCTTATTGATTTGATCATTCTCTTCTTCTGTTGATAAGAAACTGGTACGTCAGGTTGTTCTTCAGTTGCACCTTCCTTAGCTAGTTTATCAGCTCTTTCATTTCCAGGAACTTCACAGTGGGAGGGTATCCACTGCATAACTACCTTACACCAGTTGCTTAGTTCAGATAGTAGCGTCAGTATACCTGGTAATTTTCCAGACTCCAGTGCCTGAAGTACGGCTTTTGCATCCATAAAAAATACAAGTGGTTGTGAAATATACCTGATATACAGTAGTTCCTCTGCTGCTATCTTGATGGCTTGAACTTCAGCATCGTAGTTTTGACAGTGCTTTCCTGTTGGTATTTTGGCTATATTCCTGATATTATTAGGATGCTCAATGTACACTCCTGCTCCTCTGTTTCTGATTGCATTTTCTTGTATGCTGCTGATTCTTTTGAACCTCTCACTGTTTCTCTGGGCTGACATCAATGTCGCTGTGTTCGGCAAAAGAATCTGCAAAGTGGTCAGATGCCTATGTTTTCTGGCTTTTTCATGGGTTTTGGGTATGTCCTTCTCAGCAGGCTCAAAGGTTATGGCTTTTTCATGGACTTAAGGTATGTCCTTCTCAGCAGTCTCAAGCGTAATGGCTTTTCCTTGGACTTTAGGTATGTCCTTCTCAGCAGTCTCAAGCGTAATGGCTTTTCCTTGGACTTTAGGTATGTCCTTCTCAGCAGTCTCAAGCGTAATGGCTTTTCCTTGGACTTTAGGTATGTCATTGTTAACAGGTGGAGACAGGCATGCTCTGTGGAGAGTGGCAAGCATCACTTCAGAGGTCCCGGAGAGTTAGCATCCTTTGGATATTTTCTCCAGGTCACGCTGGTGTGTTGGGAAATGAGCAGGGGGATAGACTGGCCGGTTCTGCACCACTTGTCAGTGAACTGATACATGACAAGCTGGATGTTGTGAGGGCCCTTTGGGAGCGAGTGAACAGTGCAGAGGAACAGATAGATCATTACGGTCTGATGAGAATGGCGCTGGGAGGAGTTACAATGGGATCTGGCCGACGCTCGAAACTCGGGGGAGGGGCGAGACGGATATACAATCAGACTGTTACTAGTACTATTGGAATTATAACTCTTCTCTTGCTGCTGAAGATGGGGACGGAATGCTTAAATAAGTTTCCCGAGTGCTGCGATGTCTATTCTTAATTCAACATTCAACAACAGGCTCTAACAGCTGCCATCGTACGAGTCCAAGATAACAAAGCTACATACAACAAAACTCTTAACAGCTGGTTACGCCAACTTACACTGGGTGAGAGAAGCCAGAGTGGGAGTCCCAGCCAACCATCGCAGGAGCAACATCAATGTTGAGTTTCTTGGCAACTCTTTGCAGACCCTGACCTAATAAATGAGAATAAAATCAGTAAGTACAAAATATCTCTGAGTGCAGTGGAAGATCTTTTCTCCTGCTAACAGTCAGACTTTTGTAGTTGAGGTGACTAGTGGAAAACTTTGCAAAAGCACTGCCTGTCTGCCGTCACCACTATTGTCCTACTGTATCATTATATGTCATGTACGTGATGCAGTCAATTTCTCTATTTCGTTTTGTCCTGTGCAATCCCTCTAAATGAAATATCTAAGTCAACTACAAGTTGAGATGCAATTTTTCAAAGTTTTTGCACATGTAATGATCTTTAAAACTTAGATAAATAAGTTATATATGCTTCAGCAAATTCAGAAATAGAGCTTTAAAACATAATTCTTTTTAAACCCCGTTTGCACAGCTGTTTTCTACTATGAATAATTGTGAATTATGTATGTAAACTTAAAATGGTTAAAATGTACAATTTCAGCTGGGTCCCTACCCTTAACATTATAAATGGAATCCAGTCCAGTACCTTTGGTCTCTCTCAAAAATGTTTGTTTCATAACTTTTATAAATTTTGTGCATGTTTCTTCTCAGGATGTGTCCAATTTAGCACCATCTTCTCAGGATGTGTCCAATATAGCACCATCTTCTCAGGATGTGGCCAATATAGCACCATCTTCTCAGGATATGTCCAATATAGCACCATCTTCTCAGGATGTGTCCAATATAGTACCATCTTCTCAGGATGTGGCCAATATAGCACCATCTTCTCAGGATGTGGCCAATATAGCACCATCTTCTCAGGATGTGGCCAATATAGCACCATCTTCTCAGGATATGTCCAATATAGCACCATCTTCTCAGGATGTGTCCAATATAGTACCATCTTCTCAGGATATGTCCAATATAGCACCATCTTCTCAGGATGTGGCCAATATAGCACCATCTTCTCAGGATATGTCCAATATAGCACCATCTTCTCAGGATATTTCCAATATAGCACCATCTTCTCAGGATATGTCCAATATAGCACCATCTTCTCAGGATGTGTCAAATATAGCACCATCTTCTTGGCATGTGGCCAATATAGCACCATCTTCTCAGGATGTGTCCAATATAGCACCATCTTCTTGGCATGTGGCCAATATAGCACCATCTTCTCAGGATGTGGCCAATATAGCACCATCTTCTTGGCATGTGTCCAATATAGCCCAACCTTCGCTGTCTTATAACTGTTGTTACCAGTGGTTGACCAGATATTTCTCTATTTTCTAACCATCCTCTTAAATTCATCCTATTTTATGTTTAATATTTTTCACAGGCATTTGTGTTTAAATACATTTAACTTTCGTTCTGCCTGCCATGATAAGAGTCAAATATGCATAAGAAAAAAAAAAGCCCACTGGTCCTACCTCGGACCTGAACTGTGCCCAAAGGTAACATCCAGGGTTTGAAGAGCTCCACATTGCCGTACTCATTCCTAGGTACTTTGCCCTGTCCAATAAAAACACAACAAGCAACACCAATCAAATGATCCTACATCTCAGGTTAAAGTACTATATATTCACACCTTTCTAGCTTTACATCAGACTCTACATATTTTATATTTGTAACATTACTAGTCAATATTACACACTCCTGTTTCTTCTCTGAACTGCCTTCTGCCCTTAAGGGGCACTTGGTATATTGTGTTGTGGTTTACAGTCAGACTGTGTTATCTGCACATTTTGGCCTACACATCCAATGACGGCAAATCTTTAATTATTTGCTTTTAACTTTTACAAAAATGATTCCCCAATACCCAGGTGGTGAGTGAGCTTAGGTGGTGAGTGAGCCTAGGTGGTGAGTGAGCCTAGGTGGTGAGTGAGCCTAGGTGGTGAGTGAGCCTAGGTGGTGAGCAAGCCTAGGTGGTGAGCAAGCCCAGGTGGTGACCTCCTGTTCATTGTTGAACATTCCATGCTAATTTCACAAAATTATAATTAAATCCACTGGGAGCTACAGTGGATACTCGCTTGTCTATCAGCCTGAAAGACTTGAGTTTAAATCCACCAGATTTTTTAAATAACTGACTTTGGCTTCCTAGTAGACCCAACCTCACAATGAATACCAGGAATTGTTGTTGGAAGTAAAGGCAGCCAATGTGTCGCTGATCACACCACCCATCGAGTGCCGACTGGTCTATAGAAATATGTGTCTAGACTACACGTATAATACACCCGAAGGTGAAGGGAAGAGCCTGCTCCCCCCCTCCCTCTTATATTCCCCCCTCCCCCATATAGGCCCGGTATGCAACTTAAATAACAAACTCCTTTACTGTGATGTAACTACTTTGCTCCTCGCTAATGCTGCACACAAACATGTTATGTTACGATTTCTAGCACAAGTTCTACAAACTTGAAAACAAAATTCAAGCACTGGAAACTGGAATTATTCTTTCTTCTTAAATTCTTGGTAAAACAAGAGACCACATGACAAATGACAAGGATCCCTATATCATCACTCACTACACGGCAATCATCAACCTCTCTTAACCCTCTTAGCACGGACGGGCCGATTATTATCGGCCTGCGGATGTCTGGCCAAAAACACGGAACGGCTGATCATCGGCCCGATCGTGTTTCGCCTCGAACCGCTAAGAAATCTCCTATTTTGAAACACTGAAAGTGATTCATTTATATTAACTGCTGTATCAGCTTTACACATGGCGACTTTCGAGTGTTTGGTATCGAAGTGAAAATTGTTGTTGAATTTTTTAAATAGTGACCTGAACCGCTAAAAGTATGTCTGACTCGTATGTTTCTGCCCCTAAACTTGATGTTGATAAAACATTTGAATCAAGTGTTGACACTAATTCTGTTGATACTGATGCAGGATTTAGTGTTAGTAGTAATAGTGGGAATCAGATGGGGACGCTGTTGTGTTCAGTCACAGCCCAACCATGGCTCAGGGTATATCCACCCAAAGGTGTTGACACTCTGGCACATCCATCTCTAGTGCTGACTGATGGTGAAAAACTCATGTCACCTAAAGATATTATTGCTGTTTCACATATATATATACCTGTTTTTGACTATTGAATTGCTTACAACATTTGTAAAAAGGCCAAAGATCAATAAAAAGATTTCAAATTTAAAAAAATTTTGTTTTTAGTTTTATGTTTCAAGCATTGAAGTTGAAAATTCAAATTCATATTTTCTATTTTTAGATATGCAAATGAGATAATTTGCATATACATCAAATAATTTTAACGATATTGTGAAAATCACGAACTTCAATCTATATCCTTCAAATAGATATATTATTTCATGGGGCTCAGAATAACAGAAATCTGTCAAACAAATTAAATACAGTAATAACCAAATTCACTGAAAAAATGCTCCGTGTTTTTGGCTAGACCTCTGAAAAACTTCCCGTGCTAAAAGGGTTAACAAGAGTGAAAAGATGGAAAATTCAATGGTACGAGCATGTAGTAAGAGCTACTGGCTTCTTCTAAACAGCTCGGTATAGGGTATGAGCAGAAGAGAGAGAGACCAAGAAAGACCTGAATACAGAACCTGTCTGATTGGATAGGGCTCAAACATGCAAAAATAAAGGCTACTGCCGGTGACGGACAGAAGTGGAGAAAACTGATGAGATAGTCAATAGCAAACTCGTGACCCAGTGTGTTGTGGGACTTTGATGAATAAGGGTTACATCAGGGCTATTCAACTAAGTTGAATCAGGGGCCAACACGTTCATAAATGGGGATCGTCACGGACCAGAAGCCCCAGCCCCAGCATTGAAAGACCATAAATGCAATACAACTAGGAGTGATCCGCGGGCCACTTGCTAGGCCTTTGCGGGCCAGATTTGGCATGCAGGCCGCCAGTTGAATAGCCCTGGGTTACATTATACTTGTTCACAGTGGACACTTCCAATCACATGTTACGTAACCATAGTTGACAAATAATTGTAAGTTACACATGGTTTCAACTTTATAACAAGCGGTCACCCCCTAACTGTTCCATTTCTGTGCCAGCAAGAACCACACAATAAGCTCATCATCATCAAATGTGGGAAGTGGAACCAGCAGTAGTTCCAACAAGACACATGCACATTAAATGTATAAGGCAACCACCAGATTGTAACAATGACCATCCAGTATAATTGCAATCCATAATTAAAAGAAGCAGCAGTCGTGGCAAAACCAGCAGTCTGCACGGGTTAATAAATAAATAACTAATAATAATGCAAGCAAATATAATTTTTTTTTCAAGGCCACATGCCAACTGACACGATGAAGTTAATTATCCAGCATATTTTAAAAAAACATACAAATGTCCATCCATCTGTGGTAAGACTTTCATTTTCTGAAGTTTCAAAAGTTTATTTCTTCTATTGCACTAATCTCTGGTGCCATCATCTACTCAGAATTCACTTTACCCATGACCCAGTACATTGACAGCCCTTAATCTATTGCAGACTACAGGCTGTCATACTCACAGATCAGACTGTTCAGTCTATTCCACATCCCACTCTATTTCACAGCTTAGTCAACCTTACGGTCCAGTCTATGAAAAAAGTTGTCTACTCTACAGCCCAAGCAACTCAGCTCAGTCTACTCCACAGCCCAGTCTACTCCACAGCTCAGTCTACTCCACAGCTCAGTCTACTCCACAGCTCAGTCTACTCCACAGCTCAGTCTACTCCACAGCTCAGTCTACTCCACAGCTCAGTCTACTCCACAGCCCAGTCTACTCCACAGCTCAGTCTACTCCACAGCTCAGTCTACTCCACAGCCCAGTCTACTCCACAGCCCAGTCTACTCCACAGCCCAGTCTACTCCACAGCCCAGTCTACTCCACAGCTCAGTCTACTCCACAGCCCAGTCTACTCCACAGCTCAGTCTACTCCACAGCCCAGTCTACTCCACAGCCCAGTCTACTCCACAGCTCAGTCTACTCACAGCCCAGTCAACTCCACAGCCCAGTCTACTCCACAGCCCAGTCTACTCCACAGCCCAGTCTACTCCACAGCCCAGTCTACTCCACAGCTCAGTCTACTCCACAGCTCAGTCTACTCCACAGCCCAGTCTACTCCACAGCCCAGTCTACTCCACAGCCCAGTCTACTCCACAGCCCAGTCTACTCCACAGCTCAGTCTACTCCACAGCTCAGTCTACTCCACAGCTCAGTCTACTCCACAGCTCCACAGCTCAGTCTACTCCACAGCTCAGTCTACTCCACAGCTCAGTCTACTCCACAGCTCAGTCTACTCCACAGCTCAGTCTACTCCACAGCTCAGTCTACTAGCTCCACAGCTCAGTCTACTCCACAGCTCAGTCTCAGTCTACTCCACAGCTCAGTCTACTCCACAGCTCAGTCTACTCCACAGCTCAGTCTACTCCACAGCTCAGTCTACTCCACAGCTCAGTCTACTCCACAGCTCAGTCTACTCCACAGCTCAGTCTACTCCACAGCTCAGTCTACTCCACAGCCCAGTCTACTCCACACAGCCCAGTCTACTCCACAGCTCAGTCTACTCCCACAGCAGCCCAGTCTACTCCACAGCCCAGTCTACTCCACAGCCCAGTCTACTCCACAGCCCAGTCTACTCCACAGCCTCAGTCTACTCCACAGCCCAGTCTACTCCACAGCCCAGTCCCACAGCCCAGTGCTACTCCACAGCCCAAGTCTACTCATACACTCAGTCAGTCTACTCCACAGCCCAGTCTACTCCACAGCTCAGTCTACTCCCAGCCCAGTCTACTCCACAGCTCAGTCTACTCCACAGCTCAGTCTCTAGACTCTAAAGCTGATATGCAGTAGTGCTAACAGGTAAGTCTACCCAAATCTCAGTCAACTCCACAGGCCAGTCTACTCTAAAATTGATATGCAGTAGTGCTAATAGGTTAATCTACTCAGATCTCAGTCTACTCCACAGCCTAGTCTACTCTAAAGTTGATATGCAGTAGTGCTAATAGGTTAATCTACTCAGATCTCAGTCTACTCCACAGCCTAGTCTACTCACAGCCCAGTCTACTCCACAGCCTAGTCTACTCACAGCCCAGTCAACTCCACAGCCTAGTCTACTCCACAGCCTAGTCTACTCCACAGCCTAGTCTACTCCACAGCCTAGTCTACTCCACAGCCCAGTCTACTCCACAGCCTAGTCTACTCACAGCCCAGTCAACTCTACAGCCTAGTCTACTCACAGCCCAGTCAACTCCACAGCCTAGTCTACTCCACAGCCTAGTCTACTCACAGCCCAGTCAACTCCACAGCCTAGTCTACTCCACAGCCTAGTCTACTCACAGCCCAGTCAACTCCACAGCCTAGTCTACTCCACAGCCTAGTCAACTCCACAGCCTAGTCTACTCCACAACCCTTAGACATCAGAACTAGGAGCTGACTCTACCTACAGACCACAGGGACTGATACTCACATTGACAGCAGGTGGGGGAATGTACTTCTCCGTCTGCCACTCTCCAAACAGCTGAAGGTCGAGGGCATCAGGATCTTCTTTAGGCTTGTTCTGGTACACAGATTCAGGATAAACCAATTATAACCCACAAGAGTTGAACAGGATAATGTTGATTCAAGTAATACTACAGATACAGGATAATAATATCTACAGCCGACTTGTTTCAGTTGATATTCTCATATACCTACCACTATGCCTACATGTCAAACATCATCATCCTTGTGGGTTCCAGGGCCCCATTGTTGGGGGTTTGGGGGGGGGGGGATCCACAGCCCCTAACAAGCATGTCATAAAAACAGTCCTGTGAAGCTGGAGTGAACCTGCTTGAAAGATCAGGAACCAGTGGTCTGCACATAAATAAGATGTAAAATTGAAGTGCATACAAAACTCAAGCCCAGTGTCCAGAAGCAGAGGAACAACAAAAACTTTCTGCAACAGTTTGCAGCTGGGGAATGCTAATTAGATGGGGACACACACAAAAAACATTAATGTCCATTATATCAAACATCCATGTGTCCTTACATTTAGCATCAAGCTCCTCTTTATGTATCTTCACCTGTCTAGAGCATGCTGGGTCTTCTCACCTCTTTGTGTTAGTTTTTCATGCTTTCCTGTATGTCTGTTCATCTTCTTCTTTATGTGTAATTTTTTTTTTATCTGCCATCTCTACCCACATTTAATACATCATCTCTGCATACCAAACATCATATCAGAATACCAAACATCATATCAGAATACCAAACATCATATCAGAATACCAAACAAACATCATATCAGAATACCTAACATCATTTCAGAATACCAAGCATCATATCAGAATACCAAACATCATATCAGAATACCAAGCATCATATCAGAATACCAAACATCATATCAGAATACCAAACATCATATCAGAATACCAAACAAACATCATATCAGAATACCAAACATCATATCAGAATACCAAACATCATATCAGAATACCAAACATCATATCAGAATACCAAGCATCATATCAGAATACCAAACATCATATCAGAATACCAAGCATCATATCAGAATACCAAACATCAAATCAGAATACCAAACATCATATCAGAATACCAAACATCATATCAGAATACCAAACATCATATCAGAATACCAAACATCATATCAGAATACCAAACATCATATCAGAATACCAAACATCATATCAGAATACCAAACATCAAATCAGAATACCAAACATCATATCAGAATACCAAACATCATATCAGAATACCAAACATCATATCAGAATACCAAACATCATATCAGAATACCAAACATCATATCAGAATACCAAACATCATATCAGAATACCAAATATCATATCAGAATACCAAACATCATATCAGAATACCAAATATCATATCTTTATATAATTGTCTAGCTTGTCTACAGAAGCATGTAGGCAATAGCACATGAACCTTTCTGGGCCAACCCTAACATCACACATGATGAGACAGATAGTACAAATATCAGCCTCCCTCAAGGGTCCCAGAAACAGAAATGTAATCCTGCATCTGCTCACTAGCGTGCATCCTCCATGTTGCAGCTTATATTAAAAAACATTATTATTATTTTTGTTGTTGAAATTGTACTTCAGTTATAAAGGATTTCACATTTATGTAATTGTTACTGTAGTATGCATCTGACAAGATACAGCGAAATTTGCCAGGCAATAAATTGTGCAATCTATTGTGTCTTCTTTGTTCATATTATTATTTTGTTGCTGACACCTTGCCATCTTTCCAGATGACATTGTTGTGTTGTGTTATAGAGAAGAATGGAAATCCCTGCTTTTTAAGGCTAATAGCACAAAGCCTGGGCAGTCTTGTAGAAAACATGTGTCGCTCATGCATCATAATCTCGCTCTCTCTCTATGCCTGTCTTGTTTACTCAAAAGAAAAGGTAACATTAACAACGCCTGAACAATTCATGAAGCTACTGGGTCAGAAGAGCTTCTACACCATCTGCCAACCAAAGCTAAGGACCTGGTTTACCCTGCTATAACAATTAGGGTTTCAGGTTACATTTCCCCTTCCTGGGATAAGGCCCAATGTGCTCTTCCACCTGAAGCCGCTGGCATAATGTGGAATGCCAAGTTTGGTATTTGCTGTCAAACATTCGCCACTAAAAGAGAACAAGTAATATTGACTAGTGTTGGTTATATGGTAGCTCGATTACATCTGACCTAGTTATGACTTCCAACTTGTTGTATCTATAGACATCACACGTCTCACAGTTAACGTTATCTCTTAGATGTTCTACGGTAACAACAAGAATGCATCTTTCAATTATCTTCTTCCTGCTTCACATTCCCTGGCTGTTAACCCCAGCTGAATATTCTGGTTGTTCATCCATTTATGAAGTCTAGTCTTGTTCTAAAACATGAGTTTTGCAATCAAATCTGTTTTACAGATCCTGCTTATTGTATGCAGACTGTTGGTTTCATGCCACTCGGGCAGACACACTTCAACTTTGAATGCATCTTTTAGTTATCTCCAGGATGTTCTGTATACACTGCCAGTATAAACATCAAGATACAGAAACTAATTAGTGATAACATACCCATTTGGGCCTTGATTTAACCATCTTGTATGGCGGTTCATTCAACTGTGGTTTAAAAAAATAATATACGATTAGCTTTAGTTGGGAACAATGGTAGGTGTTAAAAAATATATAATACACACACACACACACACACATATATATATATATATATGAATACAGCATTTTAACAGTGGTCAACATCATCATCTTACAGTAAGTGAACAGATAACATATACAGAGCTCAGGAAAAACATAACATACATAAGACAGGTGAAAAGCTAACAATTATAGATAGAGAAGAGAGTTAAAACATAATATGTGTGTATGTCGGGGCGGGGGGCAGAGGGATTCCAATACATATAAAGAGAGGAAAGAATGAATTCACACAGCGAACAGAAAGAGCTAACACACAAAGACAGCACAAAAGACACATATAATGAGGGATTTTAAAAAATGCACACAACTTAAGAGGAATAAAGGTACAAGAAAACATGAAAAACCCACAAAAAAGAGGTGAGAAAAGTCAACATGCTCTAAACTCGTTAGGACACATAAAGAGAAGCAGGAAGCTAAAAAGTGATGAAAGAAATGAGAAACCTACCCTAACAAGTCTGCCTTCCTTTAACCAATTATCTCTGGAATGTAGCTGTAAAGAATTCAGAAACAATAAACAAATGAGTATATTTTCAAATACAATAAACCCACAAACATTGTCAAATATTTTACATTTCCACAATTGCTTATTTTCTGACCATTTAATAAGCCATAGTCATCTTAACCCATTCATCCTGAAATACCGCAAACCTGCATTTCTGTCATTATAAATCCCAGAAACGCTGCTTAACCAGCACGGCTGCACTGGCCAGTCCCTGACATTATTGACACTGGTTCTGTTTGCACTTGCGCAGTGTTTAGGAGGTCCAGATATGAGTATATTTATTTTTTATTTTTAATGATGTCATAAGTCTCTTAGCCTTTAGGAAATCAGAGTCATGAGGTCACAGTATTAGTCACCAGATAATTGTTTGGAGGGGAGGGGGGGAGGGGTTAGGGAACAAGGGAATGTAATAGTTTAATTCTCTGCTCTGTTCATGTTTACTAATTATTCCTTTTCACATATTTCTATTTTAGAAAAATGGTATAATGTATATAAAATAACTTTACAACAATGTTTTTTGTTAGGTGTATTTTTGTAAGGATTTCTGTTGAGAATGTAGGGGTTTGGGGCTTTCTTCACCACACGGTTGGTTTCTGGGGTGAGAGAGTTAATGATGGCAACTGGAATAATAACCTCATATTTCACTGCAGACATTTTGTTCAACAAGTTGAAAAGTAAAGGACTGTCTTAAGCCAGTGAAACTTCAGGCACTTGATAGATTCTTGTTTTTAATCAACATACTGGCTCTCAGTGGGTCATGTGTTGGACATCATGACAGTCGCCTTTACTTCCCTAGACATTACCTGGTACCCATTTTAAGCAGTGTTAAAAGATAACATATAATAAATCAACTCTATTTGCACTGTTAGGTAAAAGTAACAAGACTGAACATGTTATGGATGAGGAGGGCTGTTTCCTTTGTGATAACGATCACACTTTGTCTTTGTGTGATCACAGGAAGACAGACAAAGGGGAGGTCCTATTTATGAGGGTTCAAGCCTGCTTCACTAAAATTTCATTTGCAACGATGGCTGATGACTATTCTAAAAGGAAATGATTCACGGCATCATTAGTTATTATTTATTACAACCAGCATTTTTCATTATATGTTAAAATGGAGGTGTGATATTAAGTAATGTGCCAGAGCGAGAGAGGAAGGAGATGAAGAGAATAAACTAGAAAGATAGAAAGAAAGAGAACAAACTTTACTTTTCCCTTCATGCCCCCCCCCCCCCCCCTCCGACAACAATTGTATTTTATGTGTCAAGCATGTCATGTTCTTAAATCAAAATTCATAATATAAATTTAAAGTAAAAATACAGTCAAGGGTGGGAAATACATACAAATCTACACACACAACACAGACACACATGCAAGGCAAACGTACAGACATGAGCAAACAAACATCTACAAAGACACTGAGAGGCAGAGACAAAGAGAAAGAGAAAAATAGAAAGAGAGACAGAGAAAAAGAGAAAGAAGAGACAGAGACAAAGAGAAAGAGATGCAGAGACAAAGAGAAAGAGAGACAGAGAAAAAGAGGCAGAGACAGAGACAAATAGAAAGAGAGACAGAGACAAAGAGAAAGAGACGCAGAGACAAAGAGAAAGACAGAGAAAAAGAGAAAGAGAGGCAGAGACAGAGACAAATAGAAAGACAGACAGACAGACAAAGAGATGGACAGACTTACAACACGGACGCATTCTCTGGCATACACCGGCTCCTTCTTAATGTAACCAAGAGGTACAGATGATTCTGGGTAGATGGCTTCAAACTTGAGCAGGTGTCTTCGGAGAGCATACCTAGAATGACCAGATAAGAGATGTCATTAGAATGTTGTGTCTAATGACTGACAGTCAAACTGGCATTGTCACATGTTGAGAGCTAGTGATAAACGCCAGGATGAAGACGGGCTGATGTTTAAAACTCAGGGTTTATCCTTTTTAAAACTCACATTAGAGTGTACGCCCTTAGTCAACTCAAGCCAAGCTTGATCATGATTAATTCTAAAGAACAAGATGTTTCTGTCCAGTATTTAAGGGTCCCAAGAATATATAGCAACTCAATGTTCATACTGTCAAAGGAACTTCTTCGCCTCTACTTATAGCATTTCAACAGATATCAGTCTGACTAACTAACAGTAACAGACTAATCTCTTCCACGATGAAGAATGCTAAGGGCTTAAAACTTTCCATGTATTTAAACTGCCGGATGGATAAATGATTACAATGATGGCAGACAATCAGCATCTATGTGCTGGACTCACAGCTTGGCATCAAGCATCAGTACGTCGACATTACAGGGAATCATGTGGTTACACTGTCAAGGACATGCAGGAGTGTGAGGGAATGAAAGAGTGGATTTTCTTGCTACAAATGCGAAAGCTATGGAAACACTTGTTCTGGACAAAGAAAAATTATGATGACCATTTATAAACAAATGCTAAAAGAAGACATGAGGTTAGACGAAATTACGTGTATGAATTTCAAACGAGGAATTATGAGTGTATCCGGTAAGGAAAGACAAGAGGAAGAGAAGGATGTGTGTATAATCAGTGTGCTATGGGAGCAGTTATCATCTACACCATAAGACAGTTGCTGTGGGGGGACTGAGCATCCATGGGTATGCCTGGTGTGCTATGATGTTGATTCTTAAATCAGTAAACACTGAGTTTGGGAAGAACATGAGAATGCTTGAAATACGTATCATCAGTAGATACATTTTGTGACACAATATGTAAAGGATCCTTATAATGCCAGTGAAGTATCTGGCATATGATGTTAGACTGACATTTTTAGAGACCAATCAGCTCTCAGTGTGTGATGTAGTCGCATCTTGCTAGCCACCTTTACTTCCCATGACTGCTCATGGTACCCATCTTAGGCTGGGTCAACCTGGGAGCGTTTTGTGTTCACATTAGTTACTGGGCAAATGATTGTACTCATGTTGTCAAAGTACTTTCAGCACTCTGTAGGTGATGTGTTCAACATCATAGAGCTAATCTTTACCTTCCAGAACAATTATCAGTATCCATCTTAGGCTGGAGAGAACTAGGAGTCTGGGGCATTTATTAAAAACATCTATCCCAGTGTAGATTCGTACACAAGACCTTTAACCTGGCGAGCAAGCGTTATCAGAAATATGTGTTTAAGGAATAACTGGTGAAAGCAAGAGTCTTTCCATCAGCCTGTGATGACAGTGAGGTTCTGTAAAGACCAGCTATATAATGACTCTTCTTCTGTTGTCCAACTACTTATGTCCTAAAGCGTCACAGAGAAGAGTTAGAAGTGGTTTCCTGTCTTTTGTCCTACTGCTTATATCGTAAAGCGTAGTACATAGGGGTTAGATGCAGTTTTCTATCTTTTGTCCAAACGCTTATGTCGTAAAGCATAGTACATAGGGGTTAGTTTTCTATCTTTTGTCCAAAAGCATATGTCATCAAGCGTAGCAGAGAGGAGTCAGATGTAGTTTCCTGTCTGATGTCCTTTCGCTTTACTCCCTGCGCCCATCTCTTTCTTGGTTGGCCTCTTGCTCTGTAGCCTGCTGATTTCATGCAGTGCGCTCTAGCTGCTGGCTTAATTTGTTCCACTCTCATCAGATGACCGAACCATTTGATTCTTTGATTTCTACGAGATCATTTACCACAACTAAAACAGCAATAACATTCAACAATGACTACAACAGTGCTGATATATTTGAAAGTCACTCACAAGGGATGGCTTTTAAACTCAGCAATGCTGGTAGGCATGGGCTGAACGAGAAGTTGACCTGAAGAAAAAAGATGTGTCACCAATGATATTTAGATTTGTGCCAGGTATATACTTGAAACTCAATAAATGACATGTTTAGAAGTACAAAATCACACCCCAATGGACAATTAGCCACAATTCTTGGCACAACAAACCATTCAAGCTACTGAACTTGATGCAAATAAAAACACCACAATTACAACGGAAGCTGTTCTTAGCAGGGTTAAATGTGGTTAAACAAATTTTTCTACCAAACTTAACAACAATAAACTCAATAAAAACAATATTCTTTTTCATCTTCTCTAGTCCTGTTCTACCACAGAGCATCAGGTTTTTAAGAGGCACTGGGTGCAAGCTTTGTATCTGCTATGTATATGCTGCTGTTTGTGTCCTCCTCTGGGTTATCTATTATCCACTTACAGCATAGCTGTGAAATTTGTGCCTTTCAGCTGACACATTTAGCTTTATCTGGAATTTGTTGTCCAGGCTGGCCTTCCAGGATAAATAATCAATTTATGGATCAGAGCCAAGGTATATAGCCTTGTGATCAGAAACAGATGGATGAAGAATGTGGATCTTTTTTATGGAGAACTGGTTCAAGATGCCCCAGGTCAGAAACGGATACAGAATGTGCTGCAGACCTGTCAAGATAAAGATTATATAAACATGTAGAGGAAACAGGTCTAAGCTCCAGTGGGGTATCAAGGAGGCAAAGAAGGTGGACAGGAAAGTAGCGCTGAAAAAGTAGGAGGAGGGAAGGATGAAAAGAAGCGGAAGAAAAGACAAGAAATTAGGAGAGAGAAAAAAAAGAAGCAAAGAATAGAGGACAAGAACAAGGTGTAGGAGAAAGATAAAAGAGAATAAGGAGAATAAAAAATGACAAGGAGGAAGAGTGCAGGATAGTAAATACTTAAATGACTGGGTACCCACTTTTAATTTCATCATCTTCCAAGAGGTTGTCATTGTAAGAAGTGGTGTCGAACATCAGCAGTGTCTGCGTCCACCATTGCGGATCTATACGATTCTTCCTGGTGTGTGTCAACCACTGTTTGGAGTACCTGGCTGTCACATCTTTGACAGAGTTGTCTGAAACATACAATCCAATTATCACTGAACTGTTCAATGTTTAATTTAAAATCGACATCACAGCACTAAGGACATTTCCACAAGCACTCCATCCCTAAATAGTCTACTTGAACAATATGCTTGGTAGGAGGCAGTAAATCTATTCTTGTACACCCCCCCCCCCCCCCCCCCCCCCCCCCGCGTTAATTATGCTTCAGAACCCACACGATAAACAAAATAATCAAAGTAAAGGACCAGTTTCCATGGCCTGAGGTGTATGGCTATATGGTGCCAGTTCCATATTTTACAGAACAATCGGTACTCAAAGCCGTGTGTGGGTTCTGGGATACCATTTTTTGTTGAAGAAAAAAAAAAGACCCACGGACCCCTGACAAGCATGTTGTAAAAGACGACAAAATCTGGGGTTTGCTGAAATCAGATGTGTTGGGGGGGGGGGGGGGGGGAGAGAAGACCCACTGACCCCTGACAAGCAAAAACTGAGTGATATAAAATTCTCATGACCAGGAAGACTAATCTGGATAGTAAACGCCTGAAGAAGTCAGATGTGTCGGCAGGGAGGGACAAATATCCCAGCTATGATGTAAACAGGCACAATACATTCACATCACTCAAACCAGTGATGAAGAAGATTTCATCTGTATGTAGTAAGTCTTTTTGCAGAATACATTTACTTCACAGCCTGCTCAACAGATTCTCAATCCTTCACCAGCTCCTGTCTCATGCATTTTCAAGTTAGAGTATGTGAGATGAGTTAGTTGGTTTATCCTCACTGCACTCCATGGGTGCTCAGATTCTTTTCTCAGTAAATACATTTGTGTCCAACGGCCTACAGTGCCAGTCCTATGCTGGTTGACCTCTCATATGTCTAGAGGGCCTCTCCTGCCTATCTGTGCCAGTCCTATGCTTGTTGACAAAACCTCTCATATGTCTAAACGGCCTCTCCTGTCTAACTGTGCCAGTCCTATGCTGGTTGACAAGACCTCTTATATGTCTAAAGGGCCTCTCCTGTCTAACTGTGCCAGTCCAATGCTGGTTGACAAGACCTCTCATATGTCTAGAGGGCCTCTCCTGTCTAACTGTGCCAGTCCAATGCTGGTTGACAAGACCTCTCATGCCTAAAGGGCCTCTCCTGTCTAACCGTGCCAGTCCAATGCTGGTTGACAAGACCTCTTATATGTCTAAAGGGCCTCTCCTGCCTAACTGTGCCAGTCATATGCTGGTTGACAAGACCTCTCATATGTCTAAAGGGCCTCTCCTGTCTAACTGTGCCTTATCTTTAATCCCAAAAGCTAAAGGAAAGTGCTCCAAATAAATAGACAGCACTATACTGTGCCTATGCTACAATAAAACATTGCAACTTCAGTCTGTGAATAACTGTAAAAAGTAAATCGTAAACAGTGTGTGTGTAATGGCCTATTTGTCTGCCATTTTATCTCTGAAATTTTGCTCAGCACTGTGAAAACTAAGAGACCTTGAGTGCTAAACTAACCCAGAAACTTATAACTTTGGAATTTGTTAGGAAACTGAACAAAGTATTATTCTCAAATTTATATATTCACCGCTCTTGTGACTGCAAAACCATGGTAAGTGAAGAATTGTTTTGTGAAATAATGTTGCTACGAAACTAACAAAGGGTGAATACATCTTTCCTACTAACATTTAGAGAATTAAACAAATAATTATCATCATATTCAAAATTTACATTTATTTCTCTTTAAAAAAAATATATACTTTTGAAGGACTTAGAAGTATATTACATTCTCTATTGCCTTTTTTGTACACCCACCCCCCCCCCCCACCCCCCTCCCCATTTTTTGCGATTTTTGTAAAGGGAAATTAATGTGAGCCAAGTCTCAAAATTCATGGGCCTGAAAGAGTTAAGTTGATCACTGCAGTATCATCTACCTGCATTCACAGCTGTGATTGTCCTTTGCTTTCAAGCTGGGAACTCCAAGTGTTTGCAGATCTTTCTATATTATCTCTCCATCGTCTTCTTGGTCAGCCTTGTGGTGTATCCCTATTCAACGTTTGTGTACCCACTTTTTGTCTCTCTGTTATCTGCCACTATCTCTATATGCCCCAACCACTTCTTCTTCTTCTTCTTCTCTTCCACCTTGTACCTCATCGAAGTGTCGGGGGGAGGCCATAAATATGGCCAATTGTCTGAACGCGGTTTCTGGGATCTCTCCACAGCAATCCTCATCCACATGGTGGCACTTTGTGTCATCGGGTGTTTATCGCTTGTGTGATGTCCTGGTGGGGTAGAAATTCAGTCAGTCAGACCACTGCAGTCAATTACCCCTTATTAAGCAAGTAAATAGTGATTTAGACCGTTAATGTATTTAGCTAAAAATCTATGAAAAACACAAACGTACAAGTGGACGAAAACACCAACTGACCATTTTTAAAGCCCAGGATGTACATCAGCGGCTGAGTAGCGGAGTTTCCCAGGGTGTGGGGTTTACCAAACTGAGATTTAAAACAGTTGAAACCTGGCAGATACATTAGAACAATTATTCATAAGGTGCCGGTATCTGGCACTGACATTTATAAATGGGCACAGACTGGCACTGTCGAGTGCTATGTGCTCCTGCGTGCCCAATTCTTAACCCTTTGAAAATAAAGTAAGTTTGTTCGTTCGTTCGTTCTCTCTCTCTCTCTCTCTCTCTCTCTCTCTCTCGTGTGTGTGTGTTTTTTTTAAATGTGGTGGGTGGGTGGGGTGTGTGTGGTGCATCAGCACATGAATTTTTGTTTGTTTGTTATTGTCGTTGTAATCATCCTCATCAATTTCCACTTTTTTCCGTTAAGTGGTATGGGCAGCAACAGTTTGAGAACCATTGCTTGATGGCTAGCAGTATGTACCGTCATTCCACATCCTATAAGTAAGTGAAGGACCCTTTTCCACGCCTTCAGGTGTACTGGGCACATAGGGCTAGACCTATATTTTACAGACCAACTGGCACTCAGTGGGTGATGTGGTCAACATTGTTTGCTGGCTGCCTTTACTTCCCAGGACTGTATCTGGTACCCATTTAAGGTTGGGTCCACCTGGGAGCCAAGGTCATTCCGGACTCCATCCGGACCTGAACCTACAACCTTCTGATAATTGTTGCCATGGTTACATCAGCAGTGAAAACTATGTTATAATGATAGTTAAAAATAATGTAGAAGGTCTTTAATATCAACAATTCATTTTTCCTAGGATGATGATGATGATGATGATGATGATGGTGATGATGATGATGATGATGATGATGATGATGGTGATGATGGTGGTGATGATGATGGTGGTGATGATGATGATGGTGATGATGATGATGGTGATGATGATGATGGTGATGATGGTGATGATGATGGTGATGATGATGATGGTGATGATGATGATGGTGATGATGATGATGATGGTGATGATGATGATGGTGATGATGATGGTGATGATGATGATGGTGATGATGATGATGGTGATGATGATGATGGTGATGATGATGATGGTGATGATGGTGATGATGATGATGGTGGTGATGATGATGGTGATGATGATGATGATGGTGATGATGATGATGGTGATGATGATGATGATGGTGATGATGATGATGGTGATGATGATGATGGTGATGATGGTGATGATGATGGTGATGATGATAATGGTAATGATGATGATGGTGATGATGATGATGGTGATGAAACTTCTTCTTAACATTCACAGGCTGTCAACTCCAGTGGAAATTTATGGTTGTCCGTCTGCCTCTAGAATTTGCTCTTGTCCCATAACTTGAGTTTTGCATGCACATCTGTTTTACAGATTTGGTCTATTTGTATGCATACTGTTGATTCCTTACTTCTTGGGTAGATGCAGTCAGACTTTAAAGGGAAAATTCTTATTTAGTAGCCTTTTAAGACATGCTTGTTGGGGAAAAGGCTATTATTTAACCCCCAAAATAGGCCCCTGAAACCAGCTTGGAGAATTATGATGAATGGTGAAAATGATGATACTGATGGTGAAAATGGCAATGATAAAGACACTGATGATGGTGATGATGGTAATGATGATGATGATATGATGATGATGTTAATGCTGCTGAAGATGGTAATGATGATGGTGATGATGGTAATGATGATGGTGATGATGGTGATGATGGTAATGATGATGATGATGATGGTAATGATGGTGGTAATGATGATGATGATGTTAATGCTGCTGAAGATGGTAATGATCAAGATGGTCATAATGGTAATGACAAAAATAATCTTGGCAGTGTGATTATGTTAATGATAATGATTAAGATGATAATAAAGAATAAAGTTGAAAAGACTGTTGTAAACCTTTGAGAAGACAAGACAAACTGTCAAGCAACAGAAAGAAGAGAGGCCAGTTACTTACAGAGCCACTTCTTGGATTCCGGAAAGTATACCTCCAACCAGATGTCATGCCCTGAAACAGAGCCAGCACGCAAATGTTACATTCATATAGTAACAAATTATACTGTTAACACATTGTAACTATATTTATTAACACACAGAGATACATCCAGTAACCAGATATCACATTCATATAGTAACAAATTATACTGATAACACATTGTAACTATAGTCATTGAGAGAGAGAGAGAGATACAGCCAGTAAGGAGATGTTACATTCATATAGTAACAAATTATACTGTTAACACATTGTAACTATAGTCATTGAGAGAGAGAGAGATACAGCCAGTAAAGAGATGTTACATTCATATAGTAACAAATTATACTGTTAACACATTGTAGCTTTATTTATTAACACAGAGACTGAAAAAAATACATGCTGAGACATGGAATCTAATTGTGGAAATACTGGAAAGCAAGACGGGGGGGGCAGTCACTGTCACTTTGTGGGCGGTGCAAACAGAGAAATGCCAACAAGGGGATTGGGAGCCGAAGGGCAGTATGGCTAGTGCTGTCACCATGGACTGCAAGTTCAGAGGTTTTTTGCTGCCCCCGACATTAAAAAATTGTCTCCACTTTAATGAGGGTCGAACTTGGATCTTGTGCACGAGAGCCAGGCACTGTAATCACTCAGCCAAACGATCCTAAAGGACTAAAGACATTTGTCATGGTCTGTTTTTGCTGTTTCTGATGAGCCTTAAAGCTTTCACCTGTTTCCAAACATCTAAATTTCTCTTTTGGCTACACAAACCGACCGAGTTGTAACAGCTGCTCGCACTGCCCATGAAATGAACGGCAGTTTTGGGACAGACTATTTGTGTTGGCACTTCTGATGGCTGCCTTATGCGTTTAATACGAATGTATGATATTGGTTTTGCCAACAAAAGACAACGACTGACATTCTGTGTGGTTTCTGCAGGCACAGAAACACAGGTCCTAAAGGATACACCTTTTTGCTGTAATTCGAAACTGTGACTAACCACGACCGGCTACAGCTGACAGGCCGTGCTGCTGATGTCACCGGGTCAGGCTAACGATGCATTAACGCAGCGGTTCTTCAAACAAGAAATATACTATTTTTGACAGTGGTAAGGAAAGACAACTTACATTTTAACTTTTAAAAAACTACATGCCTTCTTGAATAAATTCCCAATTTTCAGCAGACTTTTCTAGATTATTGCCGTTGCACCCTTGGCATAAGCTCATGGCATCGCAGGATGCCTCGGCACCCAGTTTGAGAACCGCTGCATTAACGCATCGTTAGCCCGACCAGGTGACATCAATAGCATGGCCCGTCAGTTAGAACTGGTCGTGGACTAACCAGCTGACTAAGAAACCAACAGAACTAGTGCTATAGAAAAGGCAGACCAGATCCTGAAACAAGATGACACACCCACACAGATGATACACCCACACAGATGACACACCCACACAGATGACATCAAAGAAAAACCTACCCACAGGACCATGCCGCTTCCCCCCTGCAGCCTCGTCATCACTGGTTGAGGGAGACAGTATCTTTCTGTTGGATGAAATTTTCAGGTCTTTCAAAATATTCACTGGGCTGGACAAACTGCTTTCTGTAATGTCGGATTCTGAACTGTTTGTTACATATAAAGTCAGATAATCCAAAGATGGAAGAGATAAATTAATCAAATCCCCCCCCCCCCCCAAGCAGTAGAATTAACTCTTGTCTTCTTCTTCTTCGCGTTCACCAGCTGTACACTCTGGCGGAAAGTTCTGGTTGCTCGTCCACTACTGAACTGCAGTCCTGCTCCAGAACCTGAGTGTTGCGTGTGCATCAGTTTTACAGATCTCATTCTCTTGAATACAGACTGTTGGTTCCTTGCCTCTCCGGCAGATGCACTCCGACTTCAAAGGAAGCTCCCCAATTAGTCAACTCTTACGACATGCTTTTGGGGAGGCAGTGGGTCTATTCTTGTTTTCCCCACAATGGGGCACCGGAACCCACACGGGGGATTAACTCTTGTATACTTAAAGAGGTTGCTAATGAGATTGACTTTGAGCCAGTATTTCTGCAACAGTCTCTGCTAATTACAATGAATAATGACAGTGAGAGGAAGAGAGAATGTAAATCAAGAGAGATGGAGAGGAAGGGAGAGGGAAAGGAGGGAGAGAAACAGACAGACAGACGACACAGATTAATAAAATAAAGAGATTTAAGAACTGTGCTAGTAAGTTATGGCAGTAAATTTACAAAACTCAAACTAGACAATGAGAAGATACTAACTCTAACCAACCAAATAATATCAATGCAGAGATACAAGAGTATTTAATCCTTTCGACCCCCTCAGACACCAGTATTTCAGCATTAATGCCCTTGAAAAATCCCAGAGTAGCGGCTGTTTTTTTCCCCTCAGGTAATTATGCTGTCATCATTTTCCTTCAGCTTTCAGTGATTGCATAGCTATAAGGTCTCAGTAAGAGTCACTGTATACATTTTTGTTTAGGTCTAAGGGAATGTAATCATTAAATATAAATGTTCGGCTTCGTTGGTATTTACTAATTATTCCCCTTCATAATCTACTCAGAAATTCTGAAAATGTGCATAAATACATATTTTGTAATTTTTTTGGGTGATATGTGTAGAAATGGTCGTGATTTTAAGGATTTTTCCAGTAACTCCAGGGTTTTGGGCTTTCCTTCCTACTCCCCAAACGTTTCCAATGTGAAAGAGTTACATACTAGCAAGTAATTCACAGTGTGGGTTCTGGGGCCCTATTTTGGGGGAAAAAATGAAGGGGGTGGGGGTGACAGACCCAGTGTCCCCTAAAAAGCATGTCGTAAAATCTGACTGGTTAACGATGTTTCTTTCAACGTCACAGTGAATCTGCCTAAGGATTGAGAAAAGAAAGTCTGCATACAAAAAATCAAGATCTGTTAAATGGATGTCTATGTAAAACTCAAATACTAGAACAAAACAGCCCAGAAGTGGACGAACCACCAGAACTTTCTGCCAGAGTTTACACCCAGAAGAAGAAGATAACAACACAGACTAACCTTGAATCACCACCATCATCCCGCACTGCTGCTGACCCCTTTTTCATGTCTTTCATTTTTTTTACGCTTCGCTCTGAAAAATCACTGTCAGAATTAACAGCATCTGCTCTCTCATCTTCACTGACGTAATTCTCATCATCAGCATCACTGTCACCGGTTAATACATTCTTATTCTTCAATGTCGCCTTTTTGCTAGACTCTCTCTGAGACAGCCGACGGTTCGGAACTTTTCCCGGTGTGGGTTGGGATTTATTTGACTTTGTTGAAGATGCCGATCCCTCTGATTTTGCTTTTGCAGACACGGCCCGAGAATCAGACTTTGTTGAAGATGTTGGTCTCTCAGGCTTTGTTGAAGAAGTTGGTCTAGCAGACTTTGTTCTGACTGATGTAGATGCTGCAGACTGTGGTTGCTCCTGCTTCTTCTTGGCTGACCCAGATGCATCTGGATGTTCAATTTAAAAAAAATGTTAATGTTTTAACAGAGTGGGTAACAGGTAAAGACCTGGGAAGTAAAATCGTGAAAAAGTTGTTTTTTTTTTTATCAGGACCATTATGTCATAATATACCTTGACCAAGTAGCCAGATAGTGACGAGGTTACTTGGTCAAGTAGTCACTATACATTTTATTTTAGGCCCAAGTGTGTGAAAACCATTTCATTCTAGACTCCATTCGTATTTGATCCCCCCCCCCCCCCCCCCCCCCACCCCTTCCGTCCTCCAATTCTTTAAAAAATGTAAATTGATAAATATTTTACAGACTTATTAGTCATCTATGAAAAACTGTTTTTATTTAAAGGAAAACTGCTGGGTCAAATGGGTTATAAGCTAATCCACATTCTTATAAAGGTACGGCGCTTCCAAGCTGTTCCAGGACACGGAGTTGTTCAGCGGATTAAAAGAGTGGCTCAATGGACTCACAGAGTTGTTCCGTGGCCCCAAAACAGTTGTTCTATGGATTCAAAATTGTTCTATAGACTTACAGAGTTGTTCTATGGATTCAAAGTTGTTCTATAGACTTACAGAGTTGTTCTATGGATTCAAAGTTGTTCTATAGACTTACAGAGTTGTTCTATAGACTTACAGAGGGTGGCTGTGTAGCTTTCCTTCTGGGATTCAACAGTACAGCACCAGAGAGGAAGTCTGTCTACAACGACCAAACTAATCAATTCTTACCTCCCGTAGTTTGATCTGTTGATGTTCGATGTTGCTTCTTCCGTCCTTTCTTCTCATCCCAACCCTAGGAGAAATATGAACAAAGAAAGAAGGTAAAATTTACAGAATACAACATCAATGAACAACTCTTGGAACAAGCATTTTCTTCTCTCATTCTTGGCATTAGGTCTTCAAACTGATTGTAGGGCTGTTACTATCGAACTCTTTCCTCTCATCTGACTCTTTCAGGTAGTCTCCTTGTGGTAGACAGTCAATCTAAAGTGCACAATTTCAGGTCCAACATGAGAGAGCTAAATCAGTCTCCGAGAATTCAGCTGCTCTATCAAATCTTTAAGAACCCTATAATTCAGTTCATCCAGGCTTTATATGAGACTCCTCAATCACAAAGACTGCCCACATATTTTACAACCTTCACAGAACATCAAGTAGTCATTAATAATCAATTCTCTCTCACACACATACACACACAGAGAGAGAGAGATAGAGACAGGTGGAGAGAGAGATACATTCCTTTGCCCTCAAACAAACCAATGTCTTAATTCTGAGGTATCTTTCACAACTATCATTTACACACATCTTTTACAACTATCATTTACACGTTATCTTTTACAACTATCATTTACACGTTATCTTTTACTACTATCATTTACAGCCATAATCATGTATAATAAAATGTGCTATTCGTACAAACTTTGTGTTATAAATGCCAGACATGGACAGTGCTAGAAAAACAAATGCAGAAATCACAACATGTGAGATGAAATGTAAAAGCAATGTGGCGGGAAAAACCAGAAGAGTCGCCAAAGAAAAACTAAGACCAAGGACAGGCACAGTTCTAGGAAAAGATTTCACAGAACATAAAAGAATCAAACTGTTTGGTCATCTTGTCAGAAGGGAACAAAATAAGCCACCAGCTAGAGCATATTACATGAAAACAACAGGTTATAAGTGGAGGCCGACCAAGAAAGATATGGGTGGAGAGAGTAAAAGAGACAATACAAAAATACAGTATAACATTAGGCTACACAACTAGAAAAAGACAAGAAAAATATATCTAACTCCTCTGTTATGCTTTATGGCATAAGCAGTAGGGCAATAGAAAGAAAAGACAATCATTTGCGCCCAGCTATGAATAAAACATGTTCTCTAGACATGAAAACAGCACACAACAGATGCTTGCAGGCAGAGCTGCAGTAGAGGTTTGGGCCAGGCTGATATACTACTGAATGCTCTAAAAGCCGGTTACCCCCCCTCCCCCCACAGAAACACAGGTGCCGGTACTGAGTACCATCAGAAAAAGCCCTGCCTAAGAGACAAGACATTTACACGAACCAAGGGATGACTGTGAAACTGCAAGCAGACTGAACGAAGTTAAAAGGTGTAAGACAAGACAACATTTTGCATGAAGTCAAATAATAATAACAATAATAATAATGAATCAACACAGAACCGGTGTTGCTGGGTGCAACACACTGAGGGATTTACTGAAGTGAGCACTCATGGACTAATAGTTTGATATGCAATGAGGATGATTTGTCGATTTACAACATAGATGATTTATTTCAATAAAGCCAAGGTGGTGTATATACATGAGACATTGAAAATGCCATACATACCTGATGTGCCTTGAATCTCATAGGTTGAAATGACAGGACCAGCCGAACTGTGAGACCAACAGTCCTCAGCAGACAGATGAATAACTACGGAGAAATACATTCAGCATAATGAATATTTCTGGTACTTCTCTATCTCTATGTCTTTTTTCTCCATCTATGAGTGCCAATCAGTATATTACTATAGTGAAACAAGTGACCCTTTTTACACTTCATGCGCAATGGTCATACAGTGTTAGGTCTATATTTTTATAGAGCATTCAGCGCTTGATAGGTGATATGGTCAACATCACAATAGCCGCTTTTACTTCCCATGTAAAGGAACCCTGGTACCCGTTTTAGGCTGGGATGACCTGGGAGCTGAGGCCAATTTACCGAGTCCATTTCTGTAGCAATCTGAAGTTTGCATGTCAATATTACTGCTAGCATTATTCCCATAATAATAGAGATAATATTTATAGATTACATGCTTGTCTAGAACAGCTCTTTTTTTTTTTTTTTTGGGTGGTAATTTTAGTCTAGATCAGTGGTTCTCAACCTTCTTAATGCTGAAACCGATTCTTACAATTCCTCATGTTGTGGCGACCCCCAAACATACAATTATTTTCTTTACTACTTCATAAACTCAATGAATATATGTTTAACAATGATCTTAAGCCACCCCTGTGAAAGGGTCGTTTGACCCAAAAAAGGGTCGATACCCACAGGTTGAGAACCGCTGGTCTTGATAGATACTGATGCTCATATCAATTCGTTCTTCTTCTTTCTGCTCATCAGCTGTAAATTCCCACACTTCTGTAGGGACTCAAACACTAAACCGTGGACATGCAGGCAGGCAGCATAACTACCTGCACCACTTCAAATAATGCATGAGGACAAATCTGCTACAGACAACCCTTATTAGGCTCATCACATAAAACTACAAATGTTTCCCTAGTACAGATTTCTGTAACTGAGGTATGGTATGCTCACCTTCTTCTTCATCTGCATTCAACCTTCATAGCTAGGTTATGGTTTACAGCTATGCTGTGATATCTGTATCTTTCGATACACATTCAATTTCAGAAAATCCCAATTTGTAGTCTTTTTTACAGCTGACGTCCACCGCCCCTCCCTCTTCCCAAAAATGGAGCCCCAGAAATCACAGTGGGAGTATGCTCACCAAAATCCAAACTCTAGCATCTGTGATATCCTTCTGAGAGACAGCCTCAACAAGCGCGGAGGTGGTTACCTAAAACAGAAAGAAATACTATACATGAGTTACAAACCCCAGCCTTCTGATAGACTGTATCAATGGGTATGCATGGGGTTACATGAAACACAGTATACATGAGATAGATACAAACCCCAGCCTTTTGAGATTTAACATCAAAGAGTATGGACCTGAAATATATTGTACATAAACCAGATTCAAACATTAGGGTGTGTCTTACCATGGCTTATAATGGGAGCACAGAATTGTCATTTTGTAAATGTTCTTGACCGTTGCTTTTCTATCATCATCAAGAAGAATCATACTTTTGTCTGTCCACCAAAACATCACTTTATGAGGGGGTATTTGTGTAAGGGGGAAAATTGTGTGAGGGGATTGAGGGGGGGAAATTGTAACTGTCCATCACATGAGATAATCTGGCTTTAGATTCCTTTACAGCACAGCTGAGAGAAACTTCCTGAAAAATGGCTCATTATCCACTCATTAACCCCTTTAACCCCAGAAGCCACAAAACCAACATTTCTGACTAGGTTCAATTCCACGTTAATGTTGACTATACTGACCTGGTTACGAGATGCATTTAATGTAACTGGCTGTGTTCGTGCCTTTGCAAATGTTTAGATTGTCAGGATATGAATAGATTAACTAAAAACAGCATTTGGATTGGGGAGGGTCCTTTGAGGATCATAACTTTTTTTAAAGCCAAGGAGGTCAAATTTTCCTATATGCCTCATTGATAGAGGTCACTGAGTCCCAGCATGAGTCACCTGATATGTACACTTGATTTAGGCCCCTGAGGTACATACATTGAATTTAATGTATCACTCTGTTCGTGTTTACTGATTACTCCCTTCAAATATTTTCTTTCTGGAATTCCGATGAAGTCATTTTAGTTTTTCCGCGACAAGAGAGTTGAAAGTGAACTGCTAATCTTGCACACTGTGAACTATTTTTGAGAAGCGGTAGTGGTTCATTAGCTAACACAGTTGCCTGTCAGTCATAGGTTCAAATCTTGTCCTAGACTCCTGGACTTAAGATGTCTGCTGGGAAGCAAAGGTGGTCAGCACTGACTATATCAGCCACCTTTTGCTGACCAGTCTAGAAATATGCTGCTACTAGATACCCCATGATGTTACCAAGAGATTTAACTTACCAATTTTGTGTTAGAGCAGAAGGTGATGTTCTCTTGAGGAAAGCTGCGCTTGTGCCACAGAAGTAGGTTCTCTACCTGTGTCTGTACCTGGAGCTTCTTGTTGGTCAGGTACGCTGATGGCAGCAGTGACAGTAAGACTCCCTTGACTGTCTGGTCATTGAGGACATCATTTTGGCGCAGTCCCAGCGCCAGCAGACACAGAAGATGTGCCTGACATAATGTGAAAGCACAGTCAGTCAGATAATGGATACACACATAGGGGGGTCAGTGAGATAATAGATAAACACATAGGGGGTCAGTGAGATAATGGATAAACACACAGGGAGAGTCAGTGAGATAATGGAAAAACACATAGGGAGAGTCAGTGCAATAATGGATAAATGCATAGGGAGAGTCATTGCGATAATAGATAAACACATAGGGAGGATTAGCTATACAATGGAAAAGCACACAGGGAGGGTCAGTGAGATAATGGAGAAACACACAAGGATAGTCAGTGAGATAATGAAGAATATAGAGAGGGTATGAGATAATGAAACACATAAGGAGGATCAGTGAGATAAGGATGCACACAAGGAGGTTCACTGATATGTTAGACAAGAGATAATGGACAAAAGTGTAATTAAGATAATGGACTAGAGTGTCACAGAGATAATGGACACGTGCAGTGTCACTGAAATAACAGACAGACAGTGTCACTGAGATAATGGTCAGACAGCGTTACTAAGATAATAGACAAGCAGGTTCACTGAGATAATGGACAAGTACAGTGTAACTGAGATAATGGACAAGTACAGTGTAACTGAGATAATGGACAAGTGCAATGTCACTGAGATAATGGACAAGTACAGTGTAACTGAGATAATGAACAAGACTGTCACTGAGATAATGGACAAGTGCAGTGTCACTGAGATAATGAACAAGTGCAGTGACACTGAGGTAATGGACAAGTGCAGTGTCACTGAGATAATGGACAGACATTGTCAATAAGATAATGGAAAAGCAGGGTTGCTGAGATAATGGACAAGTGCAGTGTCACTGAGATAATGGACAGACATTGTCAATAAGATAATGGAAAAGCAGGGTTGCTGAGATAATGGACAAGCAGGGTTACTGAGATAATAGAGACAGTGTCACTGAGATAATGGACAAGCAGTGTCAATGAGATAATGGACAAGTGCAGGGTCGCTGAGATAATAGACAGTGTCAGTGAGATAACAGACAGTGTCACTGACACAGACAAACAGGGTCATTGAGAAAATGGACAAGCAGTTTCACTGTATAATGGATAAGCCGTGTAACTGAGATATTGCAGAGATGGTTTTAGTGTAAAAGGTCTATCAATTTAAACAAGATACAGCGAGAACTACAGAATTCTGGAATTACATGATGTGCTCACATTCTGTGGTCCATTTACTTAAAAATCTTAAATTTACGGACTCACCTTATGCATGTCTTCTGCCACCTGCCTTTTAAAACGTTTCACACGTCTTTCAAGATGAGCCTTCCAGTCAAAATCTGGCTTCTGCCTGCAGACAATCAGAAAACAGAACTGGGATTAGACATTAGTGCTAGAAATGTGTTAAAAGCCACACATTTGAGCATATGAGTGTGGCTTAAATAGATTGACAGAGAGGTAGACTAAGAGGTAGGCTAAGAGGCAGACTAAGAGCTAGTCAGACAGGTAGACTAAAAGTAGACAGAGAGGTAGACTAAGAGTAGACAGAGAGGTAGACTAAGAGTAGACAGCGAGGTAGACTAAGAGAGGTAGACTAAGAGTAGACAGAGAGGTAGACTAAGAGTAGACAGAGAGGTAGACTAAGAGTAGACAGAGAGGTAGACTAAGAGTAGACAGAGAGGTAGACTAAGAGTAGACAGAGGGGTAGACTAAGAGTAGACAGAGGGGTAGACTAAGAGTAGACAGAGAGGTAGACTAAGAGTAGACAGAGAGGTAGACTAAGAGTAGACAGAGGGGTAGACAGAAAGGTAGACAGAGAGTAAACATAGAGGTCGACAGAGAGGCAGACTAAGATAAGAGTAGACAGAGAGGTAGGCAGAGAGTAAACATAGAGGTCGACAGAGAGGCAGACAGTAAAGTTCTCACTGTAGAATTCTTTCTATAAACTCTAGTTGATTTACCTGCAAGAAGACAACTTACTTTCAAGTTGGTTTTTTTCAAAAATTTACGAGCGAGCTTCAAGTGAAAATTTAAGAACTGTGAAAGAAATTTCAGTAAGCATGCCACTGTCTTGTAACCTGTTATTATTGTTAAGGATATTAAGAGTGTTAAGCACATGACATAACAGTGCAGACAAACAATGACAACATAATATGTTTAAAGATGACCACCCTACTTATGACATACACAAAAAAGGAGCAGCATTTAGTCATATATTTTTTAATCAGCTAATGTTGAAATAAGAATCGACATCATAGCACTCGGGACACCCCATAAGTGCTCTGTTCTTATCTTCAGCAGCAAATAGAATTGTTCCAATTATGTTTTTTGATTGGAGAAGGGGTAAAACCAATAGACATCCTTTGGCAAATGAAGGTCTAGTATGGGGATGCAAGCCTGTTGGTCTGGCAAGTGCATGAATGGAGCAGGGAGTTTCAAAACAGCTGCAATAAACTCTGGGGGGTCACTACTCTCTGTGCCTGACCCCATTGTGAACAGTCGGTCACAGAAGCCATACTGTCTGGTAACTTTCTATTCCACTCATTCATTTGTTTAACTTTCATATTTCCAAGCAAAGCACATCTTCATATTTATCAGACTAAGTGTCACGCATGATTGCACTTTTTAAGTTTTGATCACAGATAATTTCCCCAGGGTATACATCTGAAACCTATGAAAGTAACGAGCTCTTTTTGTTTTTCTGTCATTTCTCCCTTTCTTCTCTTATTGGGTTGGCTATCAAGATGTTACCTTATACAGTGAGCAAAAAAACCATAAAATACGATTTTACCTAATACTGACATACCTCTTTTTGCGTTTCAAGATGTCTGGCAACTCAAGTGTTATTTCTACGGGTCCATCTGGGATCTGTGACCGGTCCTGGTGGTCTGTAGACATAAGGGAAGACTGGTCACCAAACACATTCAATACAGCAGACAACAACAATGAAATCATATCTACTTTATATAACATACTTCTTTTTTCACCAGCTGAAAGCTTCGGTGGAAAGTCCTGGTTGTTCACCCATTTGGACTTTGGCTTTCTGCCAGAAACTGAGTTTTGCGTGTATATTTCTTTTACAGGCTTATTTAAATGCAGTCGGTTTTTCCTTGCGGCTCTGGCAGATGCACTTCGACTCTGAAGGTAGGTTTCAATTAGTCAACTTACGACAAGCTTGTTAAGGAGGCAGTGGGTCTATTCTTGTTTTCCTCACAATAGGGCCCCGGATCCTATATGGGGACATACAGTTGCCAGGTTACAGACATAAACAGCCAAGTTAGTTGATACTCCAATCAACAGTTTTTGTCCTCCAGACCTGGCTGATTCCCTTGCTCCTCCTGGAGATAGGGGTGGGAGTATTCTGACAATGAAATACCTGATGCCTGGAGGAAACAGTTCTAACCCTGGTCTCATCCCAGTCTGTATGTACATGCTGCAATGAATCAAAACCTGCAAACATTAATATCTCACTGCAGATCTGCGTTAAGAACTGATATAGAACTTAGGACATTCCCATAAGCATTCCGTTTCCAGTGTAGAATTCCAGTCCAGATGGTAGCAGAGCCCAATTATATGTCGATTTTGCCTTTTCTCTAAGTGCTGAGGCCCCCCCCCCCCACCTCCACCACCACCCATCTCTCCACAATGTGATCTAATTATGCTTCAGAATTTTTCACTTGCTACCAAAGGGCTTTCACTATATCATCTAACTTGTCATGCAATAATTATCTACACTGCGGTACAGCACCAGCAAGACTGTCTGCCTGTTCATTTCCCCAAAACACCTGCATATCCTCAGAGAACCATCAAAGGATACTAGCTGCTCTAGACTTTTGGAGAGATGCTTGATACTCTGAAGATGGGAAGTTCCAACCAGTACATCCTGCAAAACCTGATGCTTCCAGATGGGAAGGGGATCTGTTCAATTCAGCACCTGATAAGACGGTTATCTGGAGAAGTTTTTACACCAAGCTTGCTCAAACAGATGCAAGCACTTCTCAGGGCTTAGACCATCGGAATACCAAGTCATAACCAACCAACTGATTTACTTACCATAAACGTCTTCCCAGTCAGACATTCCCTCAGACTCGCCCTCGGAGCCGGTGAATGCTTGCTCGTCCAGCTCCTCGGCTGATGGGAGAACAGATGGTATCTTTGAGGCTGTGAGGTTACCTCCCCGACCTTCCATCATCATTAACAAAGCCATTGGATCTCCAGTGTCGACCTCTGTTAGTGTTACAGTGCTGTTCCCCACATCCTGATTACTGTTACTTCCCTTGCTCTCTTGCTTCTTTGAAATTGCCTTTTTCTTATCTGAGTCAAGAGTCTTGGTAAGAACACCAGCAATGTTAGCCTTCTTGGGAGATGTGTGTGAGATAGTAGAAACGGAACCAGGCAAGGCTGTCTTTTGGGAAGTCTCTCCAGATTTTACCTGAGCTTTCTTGGATTTCTGTCCCAGTTTTCTGTTTTCAACAGGTGAATCTGTTTGTGAAGGTAGGTGTGCTCTTTGTTTAACCTTCATGGAATTAACAGCTACAGCATTCACAGAACTTTCTGTAGGAACTGGCTTTCTTTCAGCTAATGAACTGTCCAGAGACTGTATTTTCCTTAATTTTCTTTGTGACTGATCTTCATCAAGATTTGTTCCCTTCTTGTGCTTCATACCTTTCTTGACAATCTGTAACTCATCTTTTATTTGTTTTGTTGGAAAGCTTTCTCCAGATTTGTTTGATCTCAGGACGCCACGTGTTTTACGCCCCTTCTTATTATCACTGACAGCTTCTTCTGTGTGTTTCTTGTTCTCGTGAACTGCTCCCGGGTTTTTTGTTTTGTTTGCCAGCTGTGAATTGATTGATGTATCTGTCCCAACCACTGGACCACGTCTTCTGGAACCTGCCAGAAACAAAAGTTAAAAACCATATTTTCTGAATTGTAAAAGTGTGCACACATCAGAAACCATGCACCAGACTTAGATAATAGTAGTCAGTCTTCTACACAAGCCATAAGCAACCAAGTGATTCACTTAATACACATTTAAGTACTTGGCTACTCTGATAGCAGCAGATGGAAGATGTATTAAAGAAGTTAAATGTAGAATAGCTCAAGTAAAAGCAGTATTTCACAGAATGAAGCATCTTCTATGCAGTCTTTCTATATAAATTCTAGCCTGATATACAGAAGTGAATCATCAGTAGTCAGATGACAGATGAACAGATTATTTGGAAATGGCAAAAAATGTGGTTTCATAGACAGATAATGAGAACATCCCGGGCAGATAAAAAGAGTCATGAAGATGAAATGAAAGAAACTGACTCCCAAACAGAACTGACCGCCCACATCAGAATGAGACAATCTACATTCTTTGGTCACGTCATGAGAATCTATCTTCTTTTACCCCACCACACTGAGCTGGGAATGCAGAGACTAGCCAGCAGGTGCCACAGAGGTGGAAATTCAGCAATTCAAGATAATGCTCGCTCAGAGGATTTGATCATTTACACAGACAGTTCGGTGTCAAGAGGCAAAAGAAGTGCTTGGGGCTTCTTAGAAAAAGTTAATGGTCGACGTTTGGTGCAGGAGAGCCTAGCATATGATACCACAACATCCAGCTTGAGAATAGAGGTGGAGGCGGTCACTGCAGCTTTCCGCTGGCTAGAGAACACGACACACACACACATCATGATGGTAACTGATTCAGAAAGCATGCTGAGGAAGATCAGAACATGTATGCTTCGTGCAGAGTGGCATGCTTCGCTGCAGAGGACACGAGTGAGGAGTATTGTCTGGATTTTTTCACCGGCTCATGTCGGTGTGTTGGGAAATGAACAGGAGGACAGAGTGGCTGGCTCTGCACAACTTGGTGGAATATTGATACATGATAGGGCAGATGTGGTTAGTGCCTTGTGGGAGAGCATGTACAATTCGGAGGAGCAGATGGATCACCACAGTCTGTGAGATTGATGCAGTTGGGGGTGACGAGAGGTTCTGGCAGATGCTTGAGGCTCAGAGGAAAGGCAAGACGGACGTTAAATCAGAATGCTACTGGCACCATTAGTATCGGAACTATTTTCTGGCTGCTGAAGATGGGGACGGAGCGCTTATGGGAAAGTCCCGAGTGCTGTGATGTCGGTTCTTGAATCAAATCAAATCAAAATCAACCCCACCAAAACATCACACAGGCGATAAACACCCGATGACAAAAAGTGCCAAAATGTGGATGAGGATCACCCGTGGAGTGGTCCCAGAAACCGCGTTCAGCTATTAGACCATATTTATAGCCAGGCTATTTTGCGGCCCCTGGCAAGAGCCAGTATAGGGCTTCAAATGACGAAAAATTGCATCCCACAGGTAGATTTATATGTAATGAGAAGGAGAAAACTGGTTTATATCAGTATGGTAGGAAAGTTGAGGGGGGGGGGGGGGGCGAAGTAGATGGAGATTGAGAGAAAAGATGCTGGACAGTCGGACATAATAGCATGGAGATCATCTGTGTCAGAACTGACTACAAGTACATGAGACACAAGGTTGTAGGTAGACATGACTACTATAAGGTTGTGGATAGACATGACTACTATAAGGTTGTGGGTAGACATGACTACTATAAGGCTGTGGGTAGACATGACTACTATATGGCTGTGGGTAGACATCACTACTATAAGGTTGTGGGTAGACATGACTACTATAAGGTTGTGGGTAGACATGACTACTATAAGATTGTGGGTTGACATGAGTACTATAAGGTTGTGGGTAGACATGACTACTATAAGGTTGTGGGTAGACATGACTACTATAAGGTTGTGGGTAGACATGACTACTATAAGGTTGTGGGTAGACATGACTACTATAAAGTTGTGGGTAGACATGACTACTATAATGTTGTTGGTAGACATGACTACTATAAGGTTGTGGGTACACATGATTACTAAAGGGCTGTAGGTAGATATGACTACTATAAGGTCGAAGGTAGACATGACTACTATAAGGTTGTGGGTAGACATGACTACTATAAATAGGTTGTAGGTAGACATGACTACTATAAATAGGTTGTAGGTAGACATGACTACTATAAATAGGTTGTAGGTAGACATGACTACTATATGGTTGTAGGTAGACATGACTACTATAAATAGGTTGTAGGTAGACATGACTACTATAAATAGGTTGTAGGTAGACATGACTACTATATGGTTGTAGGTAGACATGACTACTATAAGGTTGTAGGTAGACATGACTACTAAAAGGTTGTAGGTAGACATGACTACTATAAGGTTGTGGGTAGACATGACTACTATAAGGTTGTGGCTAGACATGACTACTATAAGGTTGTGGGTAGACATGACTACTATAAGGTTGTAGGTAGACATGACTACTATAAGGTTGTGGGTAGACATGACTACTATAAGAAGGTTGTGGGTAGACATGACTACTATAAGAAGGTTGTGGGTAGACATGACTACTATAAGGTTGTGGGTAGACATGACTACTATAAGAAGGTTGTGGGTAGACATGACAACTATAAGAAAGTTGTGGGTAGACATTACTATAAGGCGGTTGTGGGTAGACATGACTACTATAAGAAGGTTGTGGGTAGACATGACTACTATAAGGCGGTTGTGGGTAGACATGACTACTATAAGAAGGTTGTGGGTAGACATGACTACTATAAGAAGGTTGTGGGTAGACATGACTACTATAAGGCGGTTGTGGGTAGACATGACTACTATAAGAAGGTTGTGGGTAGACATAACTACTATAAGGCGGTTGTGGGTAGACATGACTACTATAAGAAGGTTGTGGGTAGACATGACTACTATAAGGCGGTTGTGGGTAGACATGACTACTATAAGAAGGTTGTGGGTAGACATGACTACTATAAGGCGGTTGTGGGTAGACATGACTACTATAAGAAGGTTGTGGGTAGACATGACTACTATAAGAAGGTTGTGGGTAAGAAGATCGTAAATTTTTTCCCTATGCATTTACCATACACTTCTTCCTGACTCACTCACCATAAGCTTTTCTCTGATTCACTTACCACAGAATTTTTCCTAACTCAATTACCATAAGCTTTTCTCTGATTCACTTACCATATCCCCGTGTGGGTTACGGGGCCCCATAGTGGCCCACTGCCCCCTAACAAGCATGTAATACAAGTCGACAAATTATGGATGCTTCCTTTGAAGTCAGAGTACATCTGCATTTCAGGGGCGGAACCAACAGTCTGCATATAAATAAGCTAGATCTGTGAAAAGGATGTGCACACAAACTGAGGTTATGGAACAAGATGTAAGTCCAGAAGGGTACAGCAACAAGCAGAACTTTTAGCCGGAATTTACAACCGGCAATGCTAAAAAAAGGAGAAAACTTACCAAATATGTCTCCCTGATTCACTTACCATCTTCCCAGTCAGACATCTCCTCAGACTCGCCCTCGGAGCCGGTGAATGCTTGCTCGTCCAGCTCCTCGGCTGATCGGAGGACAGGTGGTAATTGTAAGGTTGAGAGGTTACCTCCCCGACCTTCTATCATCATTAACAAAGCCATTGGATCTCCAGTGTCGACCTCTGTTAGTGTTACAGTGCTGTTCCCCACATCCTGATTACTGTTACTTCCCTTGCTCTCTTGCTTCTTTGAAATTGCCTTTTTCTTATCTGAGTCAAGAGTCTTGGCAAGAACACCAGCAATGTTAGCCTTCTTGGGAGATGTGTGTGAGATAGTAGAAACAGAACCAGGCAAGGCTGTCTTTTGGGAAGTCTCTCCAGATTTTACCTGAGCTTTCTTGGATTTCTGTCCCAGTTTTCTGTTTTCAACAGGTGAATCTGTTTGTGAAGGTAGGTGTGCTTTTTGTTTATCCTTTACAGAATTAACAGCTACAGCATTCACAGAACTTCCTGAAGGCACTGGCTTTCTTTCAACTAATGAACTGTCCAGAGACCGTATTTTTCTGACTTTTGTTCGTGACTGATCTTCATCAAGATTTGTTCCCTTCTTGTGTTTCATACCTTTCTGGACAATCTGTAACTCATCTTTTATTTGTAGTACTGGAAAGTTTTCTCCAGATTTGTTTGATCTCAGGACGCTACGGGTTTTACGTCCGTTTACATTATCACTGAGAGCTTCTTCCACGTGTTTCTTGTTCTTGTGAACTGTTCTCGGCTTTTTTGTTTTGTTTGACAGCTGCGAATTCATTGCTGTTTCTGTCCCAACCACTGGAGCACGTCTTCTGGAACCTACCAGAAACAAAAGTTACCAAAATTTATATTTATATATTTTGTATTTAATTTTAAAAGTGTTTTAATGTAAACGCCAATGTCATTCTCAATAAAATTTGCAAATATGAAATTTTAAAAACTAACAAACAAGAAATGAAACAGATAATGTTTTCATCCACCTTCATTGTGTTGTGGTTGAAGCTAAGTTAGAGTGTGCTATCTGCACCTTTTTGGCCCAAGATATCAAATATAGTTGCCTTGTACAACATGCTTGTTAGGGAGGCATTGCATCTATTCTTTTTCCATTGAAAATGGGCTCTGGAGTCACACAGGAGGAGATAATTAGACACTGTTTACAACAGAGAATCAACAAACAGGCACTGAAATAGGAAATTGAGAGATTGAGGAAAAACAATGTCAAAGAGAAACCCTAAAGGGAACGAGGATGAGAG